CTGTATGATAATTTTTTTGTAGTGATATATATATATATATATATATATATATATATTCAATTCATCATATTTGTGTTGTGATTCTGATCTTAATGCTTATCTCACCTTTTGATTTATAGTTCTAAATCTTGTTGGAAAATATCTTCTAAACTTGGTTTGGATCATTTCACCTAACAATGACTTGTGTTAGGAATATAGACTTGAAATTGTTAGCCATTTACATCCTTATGCTTAATGCAAGGATTTAATCTTGATCATGGAGGAATCATGTTTCAAGGTTTAATCTTTAAAGATTCAAGCTTGAGGAATCAATTTGAGTGATTATATGAATGTGAGAATATGAAAACTTGAATTCATATAGAAGATTCATTAGAAAACATAAGTGTTGTGAAAGTACATTTAACTTCAATTTCTCTTTTGCATCTCTCTTGCACAGGAATCACTTCTTGAATCAATATTTTGTTAAATATCTCATTTGCAACTTATCTTATTTACATGACTTGCTCAATATAATTGCATATGAATGTTTATACAAATTGAATTAGGAGGGAAATTACATAATATCTTCAAATCTTTGAGGATGATATCTTAAATTACTACATGAAGTTTAATCAACTTGTCAAGTTTGAAAATCCTTCACTAAGATTGAGATGAGAGAATCTGTGGACACTCTTTTGCAAATTCTTGAAATGTTTCTCATTTTTCTTGTGTACTAATCTTAAGGGGACCACTAATAAGAGTTGATATATTTTTTTTTTCTTTTTTCATTGTGATTTATATTATATGATTCATGTTGGGATAATAATTAAGAGGATGAATATAAATTTATATACATATAATTATCTCTATTAATAACAAGTCTTTGGGTGGTGTCTAAAAGCAAAACCTAGAGGACTTGGGATAAAAGTGGACAATATCTTACCAATATAGAGACATGTGTGTGTGTGAAAACTCCCGATGCAATATCTTATTGGTAGGATTCCTTTTGGATTATGTCTAAAAATAAAATTATGAGAATTTAGGTTCAAAGCAGACAATATCTTACCTATATAGAGACATATGTGTGATAAAACCCTTGGTGCAATATCTTATTGGTAGGAGTTCGGACTTAGATCCAAAACGATTAATATCTTACAAGTATGGAGACACGTGTGAAGAAACTCTTCGGTGCACAACAATTCATAGTTCATTATAATTAATATTTTTTAACAAATTTTAATCCATAAGAGACGAAGTATAATAAAGAGTGTGTTACATATATTGTTATCACTTTTCAATATAAATAAGAGCAATAGATTTAAATAATTAGAAATTTACATTTGATCATGTGTGTGAAGATATATGTGTAGAAACTCCTGATGTAATATCTTATTAGTAAAAGGAAGTTTTTTGGGTGATGTCTAAAAGTAAAATCGTAATAGTTTAAACTTAAAATAGATAATATCTTACTAGTGTAGAGACATATAATATCTTAACAATATGGAGACATGTATATAGAAACTCATCGATACTTAACAACAGTTCATGATTCATTATAATTAATTTTTTTAATAAATTTTAATCTACAAGAGACGATGTATAATGAAGAGTGTGTTAAATATATTGCTACCACTTTTCAATATATAAATAAGATCAATAGATTTAAATAATTAGCAAATTTACATCTGATTACAAATTCAAAGCTCATTTTCATCTTAATTTGTAAACAAATTAACCAACATTTCTATTGTAAGTCCACGCAAGGCTGATTTTT